CGAGCGCTCGTTAAACAACTCGTCTAGCCCAATGACCGGTACTGTCCGGCAGGTCTGCTCAGTTTCAGTGTAGAGGGTCCGAACTCTGAGCTGCACGCTGAAACGGAGGCCGTCGTTAAGTGTTGAGGGCCTGTTGGAACCACTCCCCTACCAGACCAAGTAAGGCTGATGATCTGTGTCTGACGACTCGACTGTCCCGGGGGATACGAACCCTCCCAAGGACCGGTACAGACCGGCGGGCTGCTCGATGTGGCACAGTAGGCTGGAAAGGCTGAGTTGTGGGCTGAAAGCACAGGTAGAACCAAACTGATCACGTCGTCCTGTTTGCGACGTTAAAGAATTCTTGAGGAGTTACGGGGGATCTCCTTAAATGCCTCCTGATCAGCCACTGGTTCAGTAGTGACAGCCATAGCATAGGTCTAGGCTAGAGACCATAGTTGACAGGATCCCTGTCAGGATTCTGTAAGTCTTAGATTGAGTCTATAGGTTTGTCAGTTAGGGGTTAAGAGTCTACGTGGTGAGGATTGGAATCATCCTGATTGTGCACCTATCACCATGGTTGAGACCCGTACTAGGTTAGAGACTAATTCCTATAGTAAGGAGCAGCAAGAAAAGATGGCCGCCTTAGTTAGAGAGAACAGGGAGAGGAAAAAGTGTGAGAAGCAAGCGAAGCTAAAGGCTATCGCAGATGAACAGGCGGCGAAGATGAAGAGATTGGAGGAGGAGATGAAGAAAGTACAACAAGAGGAGGAAGAAAGAAGAAAAGCTGCTGAAGCAGAAGCGGCAGCAGAAGAAGAGAAAGAGAGGATGAGGATTGAGAGTGGAGAAGGGAGTAGTGGTGGCACGATGACGAGGGAGACAGATACTGGGCTGGAGAAGAGGATCAGCGAGTGGGTCGCTAATTTATCATTGGGAGAAGACGAGGAGGCGAAGAGGATCAGCGAGTGGGTCGCTAATTTATCATTGGGAGAAGACGAGGAGGCGGAGTCCTATGTGACTAAGGATGAGAAGGCTGCGCTGGCCGCTGAGCTAGCAGCCATGACAGACTCGATGGAACGAAGAGAGAGGGAGGAGGAACAAAAGTTAGCATGGAAGCTGAGGATGAAGAGAGAGAAGAAGAAGAGGAGAGAGGAAGTGAACAAGATGACCGCAGAGGTGGCAAAGGTGAAGGCGTGCAGACAGGAGGTGTTGGCCCGGCCAGATGACAAGGCCAAGTGGGACAAGGTACTGGGGTACCTAGAGGTATTAAGCAAGGCCTGGATGGAGGAGCGTCAGGCAAGTTGGAGCCAGGATGTAGCTTTGAGCGCCATGCGGTCTGGATTTACGGAGTTTGCGCGCGAAATCGTCACCCACATTGGGAGCGAAGTCAAACAGTTGAGAGACAACGCAGGGAAGTTTTGTGAGGGCGCCATTCAGGGTGCCAAAGCTGTAGCCACTATAGAGGGAGAGGCCAAACCCCGTAAGGACCCAGTGAAACTTAAGTTCCCAGACGCGTACGGGGGAATTAAGGACGAGAACTTTGACACCTGGGAGGCCAGTGTCAATAGTTACATTTACTTACAACATATCCTGATAGAGGAGCAAGTCCTCGTGGCCTTCCAGGCCCTGAAGGACGAAGCGGCTACCTTCGCCAGGTCTCTCGCGCGTACAGCCGGTTGTGAAAACAACCTGGTTGCATATTCCAAAGTCACTCCTCTTTCCCAATTCCTCAAGCTCCTCAAGGAGCGGTTCGCTGACCCAACGCGAGGCATTAGAGCCTCTGATAAGCT